GAGACACATTCTTTTGATTACAATTTATCATTTCCAGAAATGTGTTTAAATTGCCAGTTACGTCCGCCTTTAACTTTTGATTAACGAATTATTTCATGATGTTTAATTGAAAATTAAAAAAATATTTATTACAAAGCTCGTTAGACTATGAAACGGACATTTCCAGAAGAATTTATTTTTTTTAGTACTTAACTAAAGTTTGCATTTACGGGCATTCGAAATTGTACCAATTATTGTTGCAGATATCATCAAGAGAATGTAAATAAGATAGGCATCATAAATAAAAATTATGAAATTGGCATTTAATTTGTTACAATTAAGTTTATAGCATTGGACACATTACTTTTCATTAAGGTTTCTCATTAACTACAAACTGATTAGAGTATTTAATACCGCCGTCGTTGCTTTCCATTAAAAGTGAGAAATATAGATATATTATTTTGTAAAACACGCAGTATTTTTTTTCGTTCCGTGTTCTTGGATGATTAAAATGACACTTTATGAAAACTGTTATCAACTTTCATTTTACCTAATTCAGTTTGAAAGTATATAGACACGACTAATTTTCGTTGACAATAATTGAAGCATTTTTCTCGTTTGTATTCAAGCAGAGCAAAAGTAAAAGCGAAATTGACGCAAGAAAACGACGGAATCTGAATATTGATAAGAAAGCTTGGGCTATCGTTGTTTTTGTATGATAATTACGATTTCCGATTTGTTGGGTTTTTTTCTTCTTTGCTCATTTCACTCTCACCTATTCACAAAATAAATAGATTCCATTTAACCATCAAATTTAACCCAGATTTATGGTAAGTTAATTCGCCGTGTCGAACTAAAATAATCGTTTTGTTTTGAATTGCGAATGTTACTTTTAAGCACAATTGATGACTGTCAGTTTCACCACTTATTTATTCAGTGTTTTGTTGGAACAATTGCAATAAATAAATTGTATTTGCATATAAAAAAGTGAAACAGTCCGATTTTTCACTGACAATCAAGTGAGTTGCAAAGAAGGTTTTTACGTGGGTGGAAATAATTGTTAAAAAAATAAGGTGGCAATTTGATTGATACAAATTAACGTGGGCCTAAAAGCGATACGTTTTCTTTATCTTGCTGACTGTCATCTTTATTTCCTTTTTTTGGATAGGAGGATTTAGTGTTGCTTTTCTGGGTAGGTTTTTTTCAGTTGATTAATGTGATTTTTTATTTAATTGCTTTGTAAATTAGTCAACACTTGTTTCGGTTTTTGTAGTTGCTTTACCGGGGATGATTCTGTTACTGCTTGGGTTGATTTCACTTCTTTTTCCAATTATTTTGGTTGTCCCAATTAGCTTGTTAACTTTTCATTTTTGATGTGTTCAATAAAATGCTGCTGGCTGGTACATTTTGATAAGAAATTGAGGATACAGTGAAAATAGTATTAATGAAAACTGAAGTAAGATATCAAGAAAGGGTACAATGTTAAAGACGGTCGATTTAATAAGTGGTTTAGGAAGAATTGCATATAAAATGAAAATGCCCGAATTTCGCGGCATTTACGGGCTTTCAAAGCGCTATTTACAAAAACTTGTTTGATTGAATTTCAAATCAGATTCAAAAGAATTTGGGAATTTTTGAAAAGAGTCAATGACCAAATAATGAAATACTAAAATGCATACCGAGGTTTGGATGTTGCAAAAGCAGTGAAGGGCTAAATGTTAATTCAATTCGAGAAAATGGGATTGGACAATTCCGAATTCGTAAGATAAAGACTATAGTTTAATAAATAAATAGCAATAATTTTTAGAGCATCGGCGAAGAAAAACGCGAAATGAAATAAGTAGTAAGTGGCAAATACAGAAGTAAGGCCCAACTTTAGAGCTTCGACTTTATTATTATTTTTATGTTTGAGACTACCAGCTGAAAACTAAAGCTTTCCTTATTTACCAAATGATATATGTACTTCGATTTTTATTAGTTCGATTCTAATAACGTTTTTTTTTCAGTGTTGTTTAATTTATTGCTCTCAATGTTTTCGACGACTTTTTATATATTTTTTATTATTTTGCTTAGACTATTTTGATTAGCGACTTAAGCCATAATGCTTTAACTTGGACGTTAGTAAAGATAAGATTTAGGCTGTTGGTAACAATAAAAAATAACAAAAATAACTTTTAACTCTATCAGACAACAATTATATCCAATGTAGCAACAGTTTGCGTATCTCTTATGGCTGTGGGTACATTAATTACACGGTAGGTAGTAGACCACAATTCCTATTGTTAACGTAATTTCTGGGTTAGACTGAGAGCTGAGGACAATGAGGGCCAAAATCGGAAAACGTGATTTGTTATTTCCGTGGACCCCAAAAAGATAATTTGCTTATAATTGCATCCTTATAAAGTGCTTGGTTTTTTGGGACTTTTGTTTGCAACTACCTGCCTGTTTATAAACAAAGAATGACACTGAGCCTGCTTTTTGAAGAATATCCGATAATCAATTTCGGTCTAATGGCTTGTTAGAAGCTGCGTATTTCGATGTATAAGCGTATCATTAACGTTATGACTGATTTACATCGCCGAACAAATCAGATCTTTTATTAACTCAGCACGCAACATTAATAATAAGTTGTCGGGTAATTGTGACATCATTCATAGGACTTTTACAGTTAAATGCGAAAAACATGTGCAATCGCTGATTAATTTGCAAATCGACTCAGTAAAATTTATTAAAAAAATTTCGTAAAATATTTCCATTTTGGTTTGTTGGGAGACTATCTTTATTATTGAGGAATTTTGCGTCATCGCATGGCCGCACGTCTGAATGAAAATTACCAACAAGGTATCTAGTTATCTTAATTGCCAACAGCTAGATAAAAGGTAGACAGTAAATGTCTTTTATCTGATTAATGACTCAATTAGGGGCAATATTCCATTTTATGAAAATTGTCGTTCCATTTTTTGAGAATATTCACTTTTACAACATTGCTTTACTCAACTTTAAATGTAACTACGCTTTTACGCAATTGAGACTTTTCCAAACAGACCCTCAAAATGTTTTAAAAACTGCAAAAAATATAATAATTAAATTTTTTAATACGAAAAATTGTAGTACTTAAATTTAAAATAGAGCTCTTAATCTAACGTCTTAAAAGCAAACGCTGTTGTTATAAGTCCCAAAAATTATCTAGCCTTGTATAGATATCTAGGATAAATTTGTAGTCTAGTCATTTGTTTAGTTGGTTCAGCTTGGAACAGTTCAATATTTTTCATCAAAAGTCAACAACCAGATAGTTGAGTGTTTAAATCACTTTACTTTATCGTATTTTCATCTATTAAGCCCAGTAAGTAGGTTTAGGTAGAAGCGTACAGCTGTTCCCAATATGGCCTAAAACCCACGTAGGTCTGATTTAAACCGGTAGGTCGCAGACGAGGTCAATACATTCATATTTTCACGTTTAATCGTGCTTTATTTTGCCATTGTCGGTCGAAGAAGAAAACTACGGCAATAAACCACCTCGCCAACTCCAATTTGTTTCACTCAAATATGGTGGAGTGAAAGAGAAAATTAACGCAGCAATTTACTAGATACGTTAATACGATTTTGCATCTCAGCAAAGCTTTTAACACTACATTTATAAGGCATTAACGTCTTGTAGCGCCGGTTGGTGACATGAATCTGAGCCGTTCACTTCGTGGTTCTAGTTTTCATTAATTTACTGTACAACTTAGATTATACAAAATGTATGTAGTTGAGAACTTGTATTCAACTAGGATTTGGGAATTTTATAGTTGCACTTTTTTTCGTTATTGTTGTGTTTTTATTTCTGTTTGATTAATGTAGTCCTGCAAATTTGTGGTTAAACAGTTTCGCAACCCGCCTTCATGTTCTTCTAATTATTATAACTATTTATTTCGCTAAACTTTTTCCTTTCCTGTTTGATTTTTGATCCATTCAAGAGCTTTCATTCGCTATTAATTTTTTTTTATTAGAAGATGGGGCTTCCGTGGTTGTCTTTTATTTTGAGTTTAGTAAGACTTTCGATTAGTTAGTTTTCCGCGATGTGTTCTGAAGTGTCTTCTTACATTAAAAGCATTTTTTAAGACGTGTTAATTCATGGGTTTTTATCATAAAAAGCAATTTTTGCCAAATCCATTTTCACTACTATTGAGTTGGGAATAATCTAGCTTTCTTACATCTACATCTTTAATATGAAGGAATTTTCTCGCTGAGAATCTACTAGCAGAAAAATGTACAGCACTCGCCTTGCTTTCCATACATGTTTTTTCATTCTTCAATTAATTCACCCCAGATTCAAATGAAATCTTGAAAGTTTCCTTTGCTCTTATGTAGAAAATGGTTTATATTCCAAGTCTCAACATATTGCAGTGTAATTTCCAAAACCAATTTCACTCTCCATCGGGTCGCACATAAGGTCAGCTGTTTTACTATGTATGTATGCAATGTTTCTTTCTTTCCATCAGCGGTGCTTTCCATAAAACCCATATTTATAAACACACATGCATTTCATTTTGTTAACAACACAAAGGCATAACTATAAAAGTTGGAAATGGTGCCTAGGTCACCACTTTCTATGAACTACGGCGTGTCGGTTGCCATAATGTTAATTTCATCTTTCATATTCTTAATATTAACGTTTCACTGAATCGTGGTCGTTGAAACAAACATGTGCATTCAAGTTAAGTAGGTTATGTTTGTTCGTTTCTACTATTCGTCTGCCAAAAATAGCAATAAAAGTATCAGAAATTGTTCTTTGGGTTTTACTGCTTTGATTTGTTGGTTTATTTGCAATAAAAAAATGGGCCTACAAATTTCTAGTGTTCAGTTAAAAAAACAATTTTTATTTATGTCCCTTGATTTTTTTTGTGACCAAATTCATAATCAACTTTGGAAGCTTGAACGCTTTTGTACACATCTTTAATATTAGAATTTTGTGGGTTTTATTAAACAATGTTTTCAGTTTGTAGGGTAACTTATTTTAATATGTTCTTTTGTTTCAGGTATGCAAGTTCAATTTATTTACGACACAAAGCAGAGGAAAGGTAGGCAATTAAAACGATTTTTTCGAGCAAACTGCAATATAATTGTTTAACGGAACATGGACAGGATTCAGTCGTTTTAAATTGTGCATTATTCAATAAAATTGTTATGTGTTTTATACATACATGTTCAAGATTTATTTCGATGAAGCCGTGCTTTCCCTCAGCGTTGTTCGTTTTGTTACCTGAAGAAATTTTCATTTTTTTATTTTAACTTTTGTTAACATGGTCTTGCTAATCATTGTGTTTTGGTTAGCCGTCGAGTCCGTGAGAGTAAATGTTTTCCAGTCAAAACAAGATCTTCATATGAAAAACTAGCAAAAAATCAGCATGGCTTTTGTTGATTAGCAAATACATCGTTCTTTTTTAGGTTAGTTTAAGTTAGGTAGATTTAACACTTTTAACAATTCTTCTGGATTTTATTGTAGTTTGATTCGCTTATTTTAAGTCAATACTTAATCAAAAATTTTTTACTACTTTTTTAAATTTTATTCTACTGTTTTATGTATTATTATTGAATAATGCACCTTATAAGTAATGCTAATAATTAGGCGTCGCAATAACTGTTCGTTTTAATTAGAATAGTAGCAGAATGGTATTATTCGACTTTGATAAAAGGTCGGTTTTCTCCAAAAAATGATGGCAATATGAATGGAGTCCACATTTTTCTTTGTTCTTTATTCATTCTCACCTTTGTTCAAGTGTTTATTCACTTGATTAGAACCTTGATTAAAATTTTGCTAATCAACAAAATTCCATCGTTATTCAATAGTAGCATATTCTCTCTTAAATATTCAACTTCCATTCACAAAGTCTGCAATTTTTTCAATGTTGTTTTGTTTTTGTATTGTCTTCGGATTTGAGTCATAATTAATTACATTGAAATTTCAACTAGATCGCTAATAATTCTAATTAAATATATTCTTTAAGTGCTTTGATAGATTTTGGAACGCCAATAACACGAACTATAAAACCATTCACAATTTCGAACATACATTCAATTTAAATTGATAGTGTTGTTTATTGGGGGCTGGTGCATGTTTATTATGCAGGGGATTCAAAATTGGCGTCATTCCTCTGGAGGAGTTGTCTGGCGGTGTTTTAAAAGTACAGAAAAAACAATTGTTATTAAAAACTGCGAAATTTGCAAAAAAACTATATTCGAAAAACGACAACAATGGTCTTCAAGGTAATCTGCCGAATTAAAATTACGTAAATTCCTGCTGCTTCGTAATTATTTAAAACTCTGGTAACCATTGATAAATAAAGAAAGAAAGATAAATAGAGACGGAACCTATTTTGAAACTCATAACCTCAAATTATTAATTTGTTTACAAATTACAAAAACATATATTTGAGTCTGTAACTCCAAACAAGTGCCTGTTTTCTTGCCTTCTCCAACAGCTTCTCGTATTCGGTTAATTAAGCTCAATTTATACCGGTGTTCAGTAATCCATTGGTTTAATGTGATCTTACATACGTGGTAGGAATGTATCCGGAATTTATTTGGTGCCTGAGAAAGTGTCAGTGGTTGTGCAATGTTCTGAGTGCCTCTGGAAGACTCTGCTGCAATTATATCCAATACTTGTTCCTCTGTGTCTGGAACCCGAACATCAATTGTCGTCCACTATCTTCCTGGAACTATCTTCCTCGCCCTTTGTTGGCCTGAGTTATTTCAGCTTCTGCTGTGTTCCTGTGGCATTTTACCTGAACTAATCGCTTAACCGCAAATTCGTGAAAGGAAATTTAAAGTAAGTCACAGTTTGGCAAATTATTGTTATTATTGACAAGGGCTATCCTCCTGTAACTATCTGTTAATGACAACAAAACATCATTGCAGATTTGACTTTTCATCAAAAACTTGTAAAAGAGAACTTTTTTAATATAAAAAATTTTCGTCATTTGAAGCAAAGATCGTAATTTTTCTTTTTGAATGCTTAAGTATTCCAATATGCTTCCAATTAAACATGAAACACTTTCAAAATAATGCTTAATAACAAAGTTGAAATTCGATTTTCAACTGTTAATATCTTCTAGAAATTATCGAAATAAAAAATTTTAGAATTTTTCTCGTACCTTCCAAGTGAGCCTCTATTACCCCTTAAAAGGAATGACGCCAATTTTGTATCACCCTGTATACATTGGAAATTCCTTATCTGCAAATAACATTATATAAAAATAACAAAAAAACTAATAGTGTAAAGAGAATTGAACGCCCCTTAAAACGATGTGCCACTTGACCCCCTTCCCATTGAAGATTCATAGGGTGACATCTACCCCTCCTGAGGGGTTGAAACAAGGAGGCTAAAATTTTTCATTTGAAGTGTCCCCCTTACAATAACAATCGACGGGTCTTTTCGTTTTTTCTTCTGTTCAACTGCAAGGAAGATATTAAGGGTGGGAAGTTTTCAAATTGACACCCTGTCTATTTGGGGGACACTCTGTTTCAATAGCATTTAACATTTCGAATCTTTTTCTGTAAAATCCGGTCAGTTGTCAGGAAAATAGTTGAAATTTCAGCTTTAAAACTTGCATTAAGTGTTTCTTACGCAACAAACCAGTGCTCGATGTACATGTATAATAATTGTTTCCATCCGTATTATTATGTAGGAAGTATGTCCTTTTTTCCCTATAACAGTAGCATGTCCAAAACGATAAATTGCAGGAAAATAACGGTTCCGTAGCATTATTATATAAGTAAATATAAAAATAAGAGACTATTAATTTCCGTAACGTATGACTGCAATTACCATTAGGTCTAATTGCTACCATTTACTTAGTAGCCAATTCCAATACAGCTCTATTAACCTTCTCATAAATATAGATAGGTTTGCGGCAAAGATTCTTCATAAATTAACAGTACTTGAAATGAGGATCAGGTAGTACGGTACTGCGCCGGATGTCTGCACGAAATATGAATATAAACGCTATTGCCGAAGGAGCCGTACCGAATATATCTTTTGTTGTTAATAAGGCAATCAAATAAGAAATATTTAACACTGTTACGCAGACGGTTCTAGAACCGTGACCCACATAAATTGGTTCGTGATGGTAGTAGCGAGGTTAGTTGTAATGTCTATTCACAAAAGGGATGTTAACTAACTACTTTAGTTACACACAAAATATCTTAAAAATAGCGGAAGTTTAAATTGAAAAATGTTGTTATTGCTTTTTACTGGCGCCCCACAAATTTCTTAGGTAATAGGTAACATCCCAAGAATATTAAGGGGGTTTTCAACATGAAATGCTCAATTCGTGTATTTTTGAGAATCATAAAATCATTAAACCGCTACCTTTATGAGTTCATCGTTTGCAATCCAGCCAATCAATTGATTGAGTCGCTTTGACCTTTTTACCAAATAAACAGTAATTAATGCATTTGTGTTTATACCAAGCGCCGATAGATTGACGGATGTCTAATTTTAGATGGGGTTCGTGTGCTCCGACTAGTTTATATCAAAGCTAAACAGTAACAAACAAGTTTGGTATTTAAATTTACATTTACATTCTGGCTGTCGCATGGGCGTATGCGAATAGCATCGTTTAAATGGTATTTATGTAACAACTGTTCTTAGATCTTTTTTAGCTGAAGATGACTCGTTTTCTGTTTAAGTCAAGATAACTGTTTCTAATAGATTGGCGTTGTATTTAGTGCAAAAATCTGGCCACAAAGATGGCATAGCAAATGTAAAAGTGGGATGGAATTGACGAAAACACAATGCAAGGGGCTTGGGAAAATAGAAATGACCACAATACACGCGATAGTGGATAATTTAAACTCTTTAGAATTAACTTGTATATATGAAAATTGTGGGGCCAAATTGGAAGGAAAATTTGATAGAATTTGCTACCGCAGTACTTACAATGAAGCTGCATTATGTGTTTGTTCTTTCAGTAAACCCAAGCGCTCGGTAGAGATCAGTGATTTTGCTAAAATGTCCATATATTTGGCTCCTACGACGAAATTTTAGTCATAATATGTAAACTTTGCTTGTTTTCTCGATTATTTGATATTGGCAATGAAGAAAACTTTTTCTATAGCAAACACTATCCAAAATCCATAAAACAAGCAAATATTACGAAAATTAAAATCGTCGAAATGTAGGTACATATATCAAAGTGGAAGTAGTTTTGCTTTCGTATGCATTTAGTAAAATCTGAACTTCCAAAAACAAAAATGTTCAAATCGAAAAGCCGGAAAACGATGTTTGGTAATTTTGTGTTAATTTAACTTATAATCTATTTCAATAATCTTCAAGAACACAGTCACAAAAGCGAGCAATTTGATGCGAATTCTATCAACAAACATTTGTTTTTAAGCATAAAATAAACTTAATTAAATCAGTTTGAAAAATATCCGCCAAGAAATAAAACGAGGAATATAGTAACTGAACTAAATGAAAACATGTCAATAAATAACTAATCTGTGTGTATAGCCGTTAAAAGCCAGTCAACAATATTAAAAGTAAAGGTTATAGTCTTTTTAGGGCAATTAAAATGCCATCGCTAAAACTCTTGACAGTCTAGATATCAAGCTAAATGCTCACTGGAACCGAACATGCAATAAGATGAAATAAGGTGGAAAAGTCTGTTTTGCTCTCCGTGATGAGATTGGGAAAATATAATAAATCATCCCCTATTGACTTTCATTATGATTCTTTCCTGCCATCATCTGTAAATGACATTGATTGTTCCAATCTCAGAATTGGTTTGCTTTCTCGATTTTTAATCAAAATTTATTTAAATAAGAGAGGTAGTAGAAGGGTACACACTTGATAAAATTCAATGAAACTATCAGTTATTAAATTAATTTTATTAGTTCTAATGTTTTTTGAAAATGTCTGTCTGAAGTCGGTCTAAAGTGATTGTAGTGTTTCAACAGTTGAAGCTATTTGTGAAACATTAAATTAGAAAATATGAAAAACAATTTGGATGGGTAATGAAAAACAACTGATTTCGGGAATTTGTTGGAAAGCAACAAGCAAATATTGATCTTCCAGATT